CCCACACACACACACGCACACCACATAGTTTCAATAAAAGCTAGATACTCCATTCACCACACAAAAATATACTACAATGAGAGAGAGGTGTAAAGTGAGAGGCAGACATGCACATGGAGGTAGTAGGGGACAAGCAGGCCCTGCGGTCTAGGACCTCATAAACTGGAGATAAGGAATTATTTTTCAATGTATACACTCAATAAAGTCACAGCACCCCAGTATAAATGTAATGTTAAACAACCTTACATAGAAGTGATAAACCCAGGGACTTATGTTGGGGAAAAATAGAGTTCTGAGTTAATTATATCCACTCACCTTGATATAGTGTTCAACAAGCTCCCACTTCCTTTCAAAAAGAGTGTCAATAATTTGATGCATTAAGAATCCCAATATGCCCACCACAACTCCAATTAATGCCATCATCAGCCAGCGATCCCAGTCTGATCTGTTAGAGTGTGAAAAGTTTATTGATTACCTATGTGTCTACAAGTGGGTTGCACTGATTTAAAATGAAAATAAGTGTTAGAGTAACCAATTCAAAAACAGCTGAACAGCTGCTTGATGTGCATCAGAAAAAATCCTAACCATACATGGACAGATACATTTATTTAGGCAGCACACAGCCTCCAATCAGTGCTACTACACTATTAAAGATAGACCTTTTTTGGTGTACAGTATATAACACAAAGAAACAGTCACACTATTTGATATAGTAGACACATGCTGTATATTTACAGTAATGTACAAAGCTGAATCAGAAAGAAAATATTCAATGTTACATTTTAATGAGCCTGTTGCTATTCTAAATGAGGTTTTCTAGACAGGAGTGACTTAAAGCATTCAGAAACAATTATATATGTAGGGTAGGTGCCTACTAGCAGTTTCTAAAAGTGACACTAAACTAAAGAATAGTTTAATTAAAAAAAGATAAATCTTAAAAATGCATTTACGTAGCTTAACTATTAACAAAACTGTACCTTATTTGTGTATCACTCAGCTGTAGATCCTCAAATCATCTCTGAATTGGTGCTGACACTGACACTGTCCTTCCTTCTGGAGGGTGGCTAGTTTTCTTCCCTATGGTCCCTGTGTGTGTTGTAAAGTAGCCACCACTCCAAGCTCGCTCCCATGATGGACTACAATCTCCCGTTTAGTTTAGTAATTTGTATTGAAATTATAGTTTATCACGGGAGCGAGCTTGGATTCACGGCTACTTTACAACACACACAGGGACCATGGGGAACAAAAGTAGCCCCTTTCCTGGAAGAAGTACCATGCCAGCACCAATGCAGATATGATGTGAGGATCTATAGCTATATAATGCACAAATGAGAGACATTTTTGTATGCAATAGTTAAGGTACTTGAATGCATTTTTAAGGATTAACACCTGTGTTTAGTGTCACTTTAAGGCCACAAGAATCAACATTTAGATTAACATCTATATTACCTGTGTGGATTTTCTTGCAGCCATGTCTTATAGACTTCACTGTGTGAAGGTAGATAGTCCAGGCTTTCATGTGTTGCTGGAAGCTCCTTTTTCTGGTGGTACACGTTAACGGAATCGCTGTGATTATTCCCATCTTCTACTTCCTCAGCCTTTTCTTTCCTGCTGGATTTCAAAGACATAATCTCCAGTTTTCATATGCTATTTCTAGGGAATACCCTCTATATTAGTCTTGACCAAGCTAGCAAAACTTCATAGAGAAACAGAAATCAGTATATGCCTCAAAGTCATCAGTGAAGCAGAGACTAATTAGCTCTTTTGCCGTGTTATGAACACAAGTTAAGTGTTGGGATTGGCCGCTTTTGTTTTATAATAGTCAGGCTTTTATACATTTGAAGATAAAATAGTAATTACAGGATAATTAGTGGATTACAGGATGGATACCTTGACATAAACTTTGTATTTAAAATCTGCCCACATTCTTTCAGCATTTCTAATAACTTCATGAAATTGATTCATGATATAGTACTTTTATTTCCAGAATAAGTCCTTCAAATGCCAAAAAATTGGTTTAGCCCAAGTGTGAACGAGTAAGATACGTATCTGTGAAGGTTCTCATTTATTCAGGTCATGCAATGCCTAGTAGTAGTTAGTCCCATCCAGCTGGATTGGTTTTGTAATGTATGAAGATAATTCACTATTCACCAAAGCCGCTTTCTCAGTTTTAATTAATGTAGAGAACATACCCCAGCATTTAGAGCCACACAGGTAACTTAGTCGTCCTAATGCAGTCACCATGGAATGTGTCAAGGCAGATGTTTATTGTCCAAGATCAAGAAGGGGTCTGTGAAAGTTTGTTCGAATTACAAACTCCTATTCCTTGGTACCATGAAGTCTGGACATGTGTAAAATGTTCGAGTTACAGAGCGTGAACTGTCAAATTGCTGGGTTAGAGATTGTATCGGAGACATTCTTCTGAGGATAGAGAGTTGCACATCTTGGACAGAGAGGATAACTGGTTCATGTGGCATAAAAAAGTTAAACTGGAATTACCATATCTAAATACTGTAGGGGTGGGGAGATTTCAACACCATCTGTCACCGACACACAATGCACAGATACTTTTCGAGTACCAGTGCAGATACTTGGCATTTTCATGAGAACTATCAGGGTTGTAGTGGTTGCAGCTGGGACCGGGCTCTGGCGCTCCACCACTGTCCTGAAATCATTAGTCTGTATTGTTTTAGAAAAACTGTCACACGATAATAAACAAAAATGTATCAGCACTCGTACTTTTTAAGTACTCAGCAAGTACCAGTACTCGCAAAACTGGTATCTGTACATCCCTTTATTTATATTTATAAAAACTAAATCGTACATTAAAACAGAGATGTACAAATCCCTGGAGCTCAGTTTGTTCCTTACAAATGACAGCTGCCTCCTAATTGTAGAATTTTTCTCTAGTGTAGTCTTGGAGCTCAAAGTACTTGTACTTGTATCGAGTACTGTACTTGGTATCTGGGCAACCCTAGTTTTAACATCTCTCCCCATTTAATTTGACAACTTTTTGTATAGTTTAAAAAATATAGAAACACATGGACCACACATCTTTTACCCAGGTGTTAGATCAGCCATTCTGTTCAGTAGTTTCTATGTTACTTGTGCAACAAGTAGGCAGATTAGGAGTTCTGACATAATTCTTACTTTCTTGATCTGCATGTTTGTTCCAGTTCTGCATCTCAGAGACAGCCAGGCCACCAATGTTTCCATAAGTTCTTTTAAAGCCTAACTACACAGAGCTATGGGGCAAAAACATAGGATCTACCCCTGCCTTATCCAAAATGAAATAACCATGTTGGATAGAGTTGGGCTTAAATAGCGTTGATATAGCCCTGTATGAGATCACTTTTTAAAGATTTTTAAAAAGATATGAGCAGTCTGAAAGCAGTGTGACAAAGCAAAGAAATGTATATTTTATTCACTGTGTATGTGATACACTGATTCAGACAAATGTATTGGCTTTAGACAGCATGTGTGAGGTCAGATACTGTGTTACACAGTCAGATTGCCTTGTGAAGCTTAATGAAAAGTTAAATAAGCTGACACGCATGGCTTTGAGTGTTGGTTCTGTGTGTAGACAAGTCAGTGTGGTGGGAACAGCACCGGAGAGGGATATTCATTCTGAAAATGGACAGCTGTGTGAACTGGCAAAATGTCTAACATTACTAGTCAATAGGGATGAGCTTCGAGTTTGAGTCGACCATGAGTTCGCAGTCTGAGAAAATTGAACTATTGAGATCATTCACTGCCATAGCATAACCATTACCAATAATGCACTTTCTGGTACCTGAATTGTGGTCAGGTGGCTTCAGGGGCCAATCAAGGGGTTTTGCCAATGTGCCAGCCCCCTTCATATAAAAGTCAGTGTTTCCAAGAGTCTTCGTTCAATGTGTGTTGCAAAAGTAGTAGGGAAGTATTTAGGAGTAGTTAGTTAGGAGCAGTTAGGGATAGCTCACAGAAGGCAGAGAACATTAGATATTCCTGCTGGTGCTCAGTGCTCATAGCTAAAAACAACTTTCTATGTTTACATATATTGCACATAATATAATGTTAATTTCTTGAATTTAACATGGCTGGGAATGGCCTAATTCAAATTGGGGGCCCGGTACAAATTATTACATACTTTGTACATAGACATTACAATCTTCTAGGGGATTGTTTTAGGAAAATAAATGATCCTACTATTTTTAATCCATAAATTAAAAATGGCTGGCATAGGTCCTGTTCTAAATGGGGCCTAGTACAAATGAATAAATACTGGGCACATGCACACAAAAATAATTTAGGGAAATTATAATGTATAATAATGTAAATATAATGTTGATTTCCTGATGTTTGAATGAATGGTGGGATCCTGCTCTAAATAGGGCCTAGAAAAAAATGATTAAATATTTGTCATGTGGACATAAAAACATTTGGGGGAATTTTGCTGTTAACATATTGCACTCTGATGGTGATTTCTAGATTTTTCATTGGATGGTGGGGGTCCTGCTCTACTTAGGTCATGGTACATATAATTACATGCTGGGTATGTGGGCACAAAAATACACTGCCTGGCCAAAAAAAGTCACACACTCTAATATTTAATTGAACCGTCTTTAGCTTTGATTATGGTACACATAGGCCATGGCATCACTTCAATAAGCTTATGCAATGTCACAACATTTATTTCCATCCAGAGTTGCATTCATTTTTAACCAAGATCTTGCAGTGATGGTGGGAGAGTCGGACCACTGAGTAAAGTCTTCACCAGCATATCCTAAAGATTCTCAATGGGGATTCTCAAGGTCTGGTCTCTGTGGTGGCCAATCTATGTTTGAAAATGATGTATAATGCTCCCTGAACCACTCTTTCACAATGTGAGCATGATGAATCCTGGCATTGTTATCTTGGAATATGCCCATGCCATCAGGGGGAAAAAAAACAATGACGAAAAAACGTGGTCATTCAGTATACTCATGTAGGCACTTTACCAACTGACCCCTATAACTCTTTACTATTTGCTTGGCTTCAGGTCCAGGTGGTGATTTTTTTTTCTGCCCAACTATTTGTCAGCGTATTTTGGGCAAAATGTTCTGAGAATAAATTGCACTGTAATGTTAAGAAATTAGAAAATGGCTGTTCAAATGTACCAATGTAGGCACTATGACAGTTTGTGGATTTTTTGTCCAGTGAAATAAATAAACTGTACTGTTGATGTTTTCATTAAAAGCTAGTTGGTGAGTGTCCTGTTCAAAATGCAACCTTGTGATAGTGCTAAAATAGTGTGTATAGAATCTCACTAACACTTTGTTGGCTTTTTTCATCTAAATAAATATACTCTACTGCTTATTTTTGGAATTAAATTTGGCTTTGTCTCTCATAACAACATGGCCTAGTAAAAGTGCATGGAGTCACTACAATATGTATGCCTTTTTCTGTAAAACAATACACTATAGTTTTGTTTTATTGCTTAAAGGAGGACTATGGGGTCAGGGTTTTTCCCCATACTTCTCCTAAGGGTCAAGGGAGAACACAAACGTTCTCCCGTGACCCAAAGCTCAGTATACAGCGAGCCACAGCTCGTGGTATACTGAGACGTCGCAGCCGGGACGGATGCTGACAATACTGTTTGGATTTGCCCGCCCCCTCCCCCCTCCGTTCCGCCAGTCAGCGCTGGAGGATCGGACAGGGGAGAGGGGAATCCCTGCAGGGAGCCGTGAGTGACAGTCACGGCTCTCTGCAGGGATAGATCGAGAAGTGAGTGAGCAACGGTATGTGTTCGCTCACTTCCCGATCTACTGATCCGACCTGTGACAGTTTCATTGTCACAGGTCGGCTCAGATTATTTTCCTGATGAAGCCTTGAGCGAAACACGCCAAAAACTGGACACATCATAGATCTACTGAACATTTATGGATGAATATATTATTTATGCAATTATATAAAGAGATATTTAAGGAGATATATATTAATAAGTTATTGTCATATACACAGTATGTATCTATATGTGATCCAGGGAGGTTTTGTACCATTAAATGATATCGCTAATCTGTCATCTTTGTTAATTATGTATTTTAATAAAGAATATACATATTTTTATACATTAAGCGACTTGTTTGTGTAATTTTGAACTGGGTCTCCTTGCATTTGATAAATGACACTTTTAAAGCCCCATTTCTCTATTTTGTTTTTGTATTCTGTATACCTAGGGGTGTGGTGTCCTTGTTCGTGTGGTGATTCGCAATTTTGTGTACAATAAATCTTATCTAATACTTTTATACATTTCTATAAAATGTATAGAAGTAGTATAAGAATTCTATGCTGATGCAAATAATGTCTAGCAACGGGGGGAAAGGAAACTGAGATATCGTCATGAAAAGAAAAAAACATGTATCATTTGATTGTTTTGTATCCTGTCAGTTTCACTGTGGTTGCAAACTATTAACCTGTCAGGTTCTATTGTGGAAATAATTTTCTTTACCTTAAAGTATTTACTCCCTGTGGTGACCCAAAGCTTTTGCCTTAGGCATAAACATGCATTTCTCTCCATGGATTTCTGTTAACAATCCTATTAAATAATTCATAGCAGAAAAAGTCTACAGTGGTCCTCAAGAAATACTTGTATTCACAAATCTTACAATAACTAGAAAATCTTACAAAAACTAGAAAACCAGAGTCTGTTTCTTAGGGACATGTTAGATCACCAATATACCTTACATATAAAGAAAACATTTCCCCAGACATTCTTTGTTTTCTGCTAATGTGACTCATTAAATGTTGTGTATTATACCAGTATTACTTG